GCGGGCGTTATCTTTAAAAAGCTCAACAATTTGTCGATAGCGGTAGTCAAAATATCTAGCACAAGTAACCGCGACTGACCGAATTAAGCGATATCTATCTTGGGCTGCTAAAATATTGGCTTTCTCTACTGAAATATCTTTAGAATCAAAAGTTTTATAGAGGATGACCAAAAGCTCAACCCATTGAGATTTAGCAGCCAATAAAGTGATAAAGAAGGTTGGAAGCCCAAAATTGGCGAATCATAGCGATTGCCTTTTTTTCCCATCATCGTGTTAAATCAACAACAAAGTTTCCGTAACTCGGTTGCGACCTCAAAACTTTCTAAGGCAATTGCATGTACTAATCCTAATTTCCTAAAAATAGCACAAAAATTGTGATTTTCATCTTCTGAAGGAAATTTTTGCATTAAAAAGAAGGCGGATGCAGCATTCGCATGACCTTGCGCAGTAGTTTCGAAATTTAATTTGCGAACTAGGTGTCAAACCCATAAACCGCCACGCATATATCAGTAGGACCCTTCTCTATATTTTGGAAATAAATGTTTTTGAATCTGTTAAATTGACACTATAATCAGTTTCTATAACATTATTTTCTCTCGTTAATCGGATTCATTGGGACAGCCTTTCGTTTTCAATTTCCCTACTGACCATGTTATCTCTATAAAGGCGAACTTGACTTTGTCTAAGACGTGTCTTCCCTCATACCTCCTGCTAAGCTGTCGACGTTGTGTTTCTCTATCACGCCCCTTTCTCCTTATTTCAGGATTTCTTCTTGCATATTTTCTTAGCATTTGATCACGAATGCGCTCTAAATTCCTATACTCACGATTTCTTCTTTCGGGGTCTTCGCGCCAAGATCTATGACCTCGAATATTCCTTTTTTTTTTGCTTTTCAGAACGAGAAAAAAAATTTGTTCAGAAGACCGTACCTCGAGGATTTTTCCACCTGGTTCTATTTAGATTTGTATTGATAAGTTACTCGAACAGACGTACATCGGAATCTAATCTACGATTAGCGTGACTCACGTCACTATCTCTATATAAAGAGTTTGCACGAAGAACTCTCAAACGTCTTCTATTCTGAAGACTACTTAGCAATATACACCTTGTACTTAATCTAGGCATAATTATTAAACAATAATTGGATTACCAAAACATATAAAATACTTATAATTTCATATAATACTTTAAAAGATTCCGTCCGTCCGGGTGTGAAAAGTTGGATCCTAGGTGCTGCTCTCTTTCACTGTAATTGAGTCCTTGCTTTGACTCCTTTTCTGTGCGGTGTATAGGTACTTTGGTTGAATATACTGGTGTAAATATGTGTACATATGTATGTATAGTAATAGTTTAAACACTATATAAGTGATACACTGAAATGTGTTTGAAGAAAGCACTTTTTTGGTCAAAAAATCTAAGGTAACTGAAACTACAAACAGTGTACTGATATTTATTATACTCTTCCAACATGTTGCTACAGAGTATAATAGTTTTGTTATGGTATATTTTTGTTCACACAAACAAGAAAACACGAGGATCGATGGTACCTATTTTGAAAGGTCATGAAGGCTAAATTATCTTAATATCTAAACCTTTCATAAGCTGCCAACGGCGCTGGGTAAATCCCAAGAAGTACTTAACTATAATTTTCTTGAGTTTACATGACCTTCATATTAAAATGTGTCGCAAAACTGAAATAATAGACAGCAGCATTTTAACCGATAGGGTCGCAGTTTATCTGTTACCAAATAAAAAGCGTATCTTGCCCCTTTAGTAATGCACTACTAACATTTATCACCCGGCCCAGGCACCAGTGAGTGGGAGGCAGGTTCTCTTGTTTGACTAGAATGATATTGTTCACCCTTATATTCCTCGTGCGTTGAAACTATTTATATTGCTCCCAGAATCCTTGTTAAGTTTATCGCATCCATTGCCATTGTTTCAACTGGTTGCCAGGAATATGTTTGATGTCTGGTTCAGGGACCGCTAGCTAGTAGGACGGAAATTGAGACAGGCCTCTATTCTTACGGCCAGTATCTGCAGCTGACTACACCACATAACCTGCGCACCCACTCAGCGTGTCAAATGATGCTTAGCGGACTTCACAGCATCCTCCTTGGTGTGGCGCACTGGGTGTGATGAAATGCCAATGTGGGCCCAAGTCTGCTAACGATCGCTGATTATTTTCACCCTGCCAGGCTGCGAGATCTTCCTTCAAGAGTCGGTTGGCACCAACAAAGGCTGTACCATTATCACTATATGAATTCCGACAGGGACCGCGTTGGCTGAAGAAACGAGTGAAAGCATCTAAAAAGACCTGTGCCGATAGGTCATCAACCACCTCAATGTGTACGGCTTTGTTGACCATGCATACGAATATTGCGAGATACGTCTTGATGAACGTTCGAGAGCGTTTCGTTCCGATACGCAGTGTAAAAGGCCCACAGTAATCGACAACAGATGATATGAACGGCCTTGCTGCTCTGATCCTCTGCCCGGTTAAAGAAGCCATTTGTTGCTTCAGCACTTCCCCTCTATGACGGCGGCATACAGCGCAGTTATGGATGAGACTCTTTACTGCTTGCCTGGCACTCAGAATCCAGAAGCGTTGACGAAGAGTATGCAGCATGAGTTGCGTGCATCCGTGCAGTGTAACCTCATGCGCCTGAGTTAGTAAAATCTTGACCAATGGCGTTGATTTAGGCAGAATAATCGGGAATCGTTGATCATGGCCTAGTTCGGCCTGATGGATGTGTCCCCCGACACGGAGGATTTGGTTCTTGTCTGTAAATGGATTTAAAGGTATTATCCGACTGGAAGATGACAAACCTGAACGCGAATTCAATTGTCTATTTCCTGAGCAACGATCACCTGATGTGAGCTAGCATCGCAAAACCCGTGAATTTGATTGAGCTCCTCTTAGCCAGCTCCACTGCTTCGGTAACGCTTTCGCAACTTGTTAAGCAGTCGTCAACATAAAACGAGATTGATATCGCAGTTCGAGCACAAGTCGCTTGTTGTGTCGGGAACCACAGCGGAATTATCATAAGCACATTGTTGTAGGATTCGTACTGCATAGTAAGGACTACATGCCATGCCATATGTGTCTTCAGGAGACTCTCGCCATATAATTCGTTGATAGTCGCGATGTTCAGATGCAACCAACACGTGTCTAAACATCTTCTCTATGTCCGCAGTTATCGCCACTCGATAGCGCCGAAAACGTAAAAATATACTACTCAGCGAATACTGAAGTGTTGAGCCTACCAGTTGAACATCGTTCAGTGATATTCCAGTGCTGGTAGGTGCCGAAGCGTTGAACACCACGCAGAACTTCGTTGTGACCGCATGATGAGGAATGTAATAGCAATTAGAATGATCGTAAGGTGGTTGTACCAGTTCCATATGTCCTAGTGCTGCATACTCCCTCATAAATTAAATGTAGTTTTCCTTAAGTACTGGATCCGCAACCATGCGACGCTCTAGTCTATGGAATTGCCGTAATGCCAGTGCGTAAGAGTCACCTAATCGCGTTGCCTTTCGTCGCAAAAGTAAGTGTACGAAAAAACGGCAGTCTGATATACGGCTCTGAGTGGTCTCGAAGATCTGCGCACATTCATTCTCTGACAGTTCGTCAACCACTGCGATTTTCTCCATTTCCCAAAAGTTGGACACCAGTTCCTCCAACCGGAGGTCCTTCCTGTCTAGCGAGGTGGTGAATGTGAGCATTGATGCCTTTGCAGGACGTGTCACTGCTGCTGGACAAAAAACCACCCATCCAAAGCGGGTACGTTCGTATGGTCCTCCACCGATGACTTCACCTTCTATGAGCCGCCCCACACGTCAGCGCCGATAAGAACGTCGATAGTTCCAAGCGCACCGAACCGGTTGTCCGCCAAATCTATGTATCTCAAATATGGCCATTGGTTCATGTGAATATTCACTGCTGGAGTCGCAGAAGTAATGGACGATAAAACCAAGGCATCAATTCGCATTTCAAAGTTAGTTGTTGTTAATCTAGGAGTGAACGTAAAGCTGCCTTTCACTCGAGTATTGATGGTAGCACCTACACCTTCTATCCTCACATCAAATTTTCATCGATAGAGCTGCAAACCGTTTGCTAGACGATCCGTCACAAAGATAACCTGTGATACGGGATCGCATAGAACTCGTGCCACTCGCTGAACTGATGCTTTTCCAAAGGCATACGCACGCGCGCTTGCTAAAAGGGTTATCGGCTTTGGGTTGGCAGCGAGGGGCCTTGCAGGTGCTGCTAGTCATGCTGTTGTGGTTGTTAGCACCCCCGCAGGTACCCCAATGCATGCGGTCGGCGTCGTTGTATACGCAAGCGTTGACGAGTTGTTGAACTTGTCTCGACATAGGATTGTGTTGTGCTTACGACCACAATTTTGACAGTTACCAGATGAACACTATCGATGGGAATGACCAGTACGTAAGCGGTTGTAACACATCTTCAGTCTCTTTAGGGCTTCAACCGTTGCTCGATACTAAGATCCAATAATGTAGGACACCTCACGATTCGATGCGCTAACCCGCAATTACCACACAGAGCTGCATTCGTGGTAGCCACATGCGTCCTCACTGGTCTTTGCTGACGCCATACCATCAATGAGACCGATGGTTCAGGAGCAAGGCTATGACACGTCTCTCCAGAAATTTCAAAAGTTCTTCTAACTGTGGTATTTTTGTACTGGAGCACCTCATACATCAATCTCGCTTAGTTATCGCTGGAAGCTTTGCCACCACTATAGGTACAGCTAACACATCTCACGCATTTATGGGGATATCCATATCCACACAATAGCCAATAACGATTGTGATGACTCCGGGGTAGCTGGTTTAAGGTTAAGAAAACGGGATACGTGTATTTCCGCTAGCTGCTTCTTATTGTCATAGCGCTCTTTGAGAGCCTTTCACACCTCTTGATAGCCAACCGAGTATATTCCACCATTTAAAGGAACAGTAGCCACATTGACTACCTGACGAAGTTTTCCCAATTTGAACGCTTCTGGGTATGCCGAATTATGTACCAGTGTTTCAAAGGCGTCTTTGAACGCTAACCATTTACACATATCTCCATCATGCTCCTCGACTGATTCCAAAATTTCATCATGAGGCCCAATCTCGGAGGACGTAGCTTCTCCAACCAGACGATTATGGTTCTCCATGAAGAACTCAAAATTTGATTCAAGCGACTTGAGCTCTTGTTGAAAATGAAACACATCACGACCTCCCATGGCACCTTCTGAGACGCGTGTATGCGCTTTATTGGTTTTAATGTTGATGTACGCCAATTGAGCTCCGCCATGAAATCCCAAAACCGCACTTACAAAACGAAATTAAAAATATTTGTCCTCACAGCAGGCATCAAAATGTTAAATAATTAATTTACCAGCGGGTAGAGTTCTCAATGCTTTATTGGGATTTGTACGATTGTGAACGGTTTGCTTGACACCAAACCATAGATGAGTACAATCAGCACCCAGTTACAATCAGAGAAGAATTCGTTGTCCTCCGACAGTTATAGAAATTTAACGGAATTTAAAATATTGTAACTTTAGATATGCATAAACAAAGATAATTGTAAAGGCAATGAATGATAAACGAGAGATGTCAAATATAAAACTTAGATAAGACAGTATTGCCAGATCAAAACGTGACATTATTAGAAAATAAACTTAAACTAATGTAAATAATCCTAAACAAACCCTATTATATCAATTTTTGCCAATACCACATACTACTAACATGCCCCAGACTAATAAATTGCTCCCACCGTTTCATTAAGGTACCTCACATACATCATATGGAGTAAAGTCAGACGAATCTTCGAAAATCCTGATATTAGTTAGATGGGGGCTAGGTAAAATTTCCACCCGATTTGATCCATTTTAGGCACCTTGTTATGAGATACCTTGTTTTGAGTAAAACACGCTCTTTCATTTTCATTGAGATAACTCACATATTGGCCGATATATGCGGTATAAAGTCACCCGGAAGTTCCATACTCTTTTCGATATTTTCATTAAATTACAATCATTGTTGCCTGATTTGCATAGTAGAAAGTGAAAGAATCAGATGGAATTTAAAATGGTGTTATATGGGAAATAGGCGTGGTTGTAATCCGATTTCGCCCATTTTCGCACTATAACATAGAAATATGTGAAGAATGTTATGTACCGAATTTGCTTGAAATCGGTTTAGCAGATCCTAAGATATGAGTTTTCACCTAAAAGTGGGCGGTACCATGCCCACTGTCTAATTTTGTCATAAAATATATAAAGTCATCTCATACCATCTCAGAGATAAAAGTAAATGTTTCTGACTTATATAGTGCTTGAATTATCGCGCTTTTAGTAGTTTTTAACAGTACCGTTATATGGGGAGTGGACGGGAATCACCCGATTTCACCCATTTTCATACTGTCGATAGAGGTGCTTTAACTGAATTTTGTAATTATAGCTTTAGCGGTTTAGAAGATATGCTCATTAAAACTATTAGGGGGCCGGCCCGCCCCCACCTTAAAATAATATATAAAAAAATTATGGCAATTTATTTGTTTTTGATAGGCGTGGTAGTGGTCCGATTACGCCCATCTACAATACAAACCGTCTTACGGTACCATGAAACATGTGTACCAAGTTGTATAAAGATATCTCAATTTTTACTAAAGTTACAGCTTGCACGGACGGACGGGTGGAGAAGCAGTCACCCGGATTTTAACTCTTCTCTACATCCTGATCATTTATATACGTATAACTTCATATCGATCACGATTAGTTTTAGGTGATACAAACAACCGTTATTTGAACAAAACTATTATACCCTGTAGCAACAAGTTGTGAGAGTATAAAAAAAGTGCCGAGAATACTTGTATATGCAGTGCCCTAAAAATAGATAAATATATACATAAAGTGCGGAAAATAAATATACGCATAGCCAATAAAGTCTGCGTTCACCCGACACATCTTTTTAAGTGAAGTAAAACCACAATGTAAATAGGTAATTCAGCTCAAATTTTCTGCAGGTATTGCTTCTTTATATTCTTAAGTTCGAAAGGCATAAAAAAATGTACAGTCGCCAGAAAAATTATCCGTACACCTCGACATGAAAACAATAAACTGAGAAATTTGTGATCAAATAACTTATTATGTATAAAAATAGTATCCAAAAGTTTTATTCAGTATTTTTACTACACTTTCCATGAGTTTTTTTTTAGACATACACTTTAAAAAAATTTCACAGAACAAAACAAAAAAGCTCACATAATGAAACAGAAAAAGTATTTGTACATTTTGATTATAATTAATATAATTTAATTATTTTGAAAATTTAATCCTAAACTAGTAGGATAGCCCTTACGTTTTAGGACCTCGGCAAGTCGATGTGGCATTGAATGAACTAGTTTGGATGTGTCATGATTTGTAATTTTCGCCATTCATTATGATAACATTTTGAGCATTTCTCTGGAGGTTATGGTGTGTTGGCGGATTCTGCGCTCCAGTAAATCCCACAAATGCTCGCTATAAAAACGAGTTTGCCTACTCCTTCTGCCGCCATACACCCCATACATCACACCTCCTCCCCATGTTTGACGGTGGGTAAAGATTTTCTTTATCAAGTGCAGTACCACTCTTACGCCACACCAACTTTTTCTTTAATGCCAAAAGCACAAAACTTGCTTTCGTCGGTGAATAAGACACGTTCCCAAAACTCCGAGGCTTGCTGATATATTTGTTTGCAAAATCTATACGTTTCTGTCTATTTACTTCGGATATAAGGGCTTCCTACCCGCTACACGTGCGTGATACCCATCTTTCTTCAAAATTTTCGTACAGTATCTTCATGGAGATCCTTGTCGAACAAATTTTTAATATTTCGAGGCAGTAAGTCGAGGATTTGCTTTTACTGACTGTAATATTGTTCGTTTTCTCGAACGGTTAATATACTCGGTCGACCAGAGCGTGGCTTGGCACAATCGACTTAGTTTTTGAATGCTTCCACCACATACTGCACAGAATAATGTGTCCTTGCTATCATTTTACCTATTTCTCGGAATGATTTGCCTTCTTTTTCTGAGTTTAAGAATAATTTTTCTTTCGCTAGCACTAACCTGTTTAATTTTAGGGGTCATCGCGAATTTATGCACAATGAAAAATTATAATAACTTTAAGGTCAACCGTCAAGTTCGAGATCAATTATACAATACAATATAAGCGCTTAAGGGAATGTATTTGTCACCATATTACAAGGGAAATATCCCGTTTTGATATTACGGATACTTTTTCCGTTGAATTTAAGTAACTGTGTATAGTTTTTGTTCTGGGAATTTTTTTAAAGTGTTTGTCTAAAAGTTAAAAACGTATGGAGAGTGTAGTAAAAATATTAAATAAAACTTTTGTATACTATTTTTATACATAATAAGTTATTTGATCACAAATTTATCAGTTTATTGTTTTCATGTCGAGGTGTACGGATAATTTTTCTGGCGAGTGTATATTCCTATTTTCATTTTTGTGATAACGTGATTTTAGTGTAAGAACAAGTAAACATAGGCAGATTAAGTCTGCGTTCAGTTAGCTTGAATTGGAAATACCGTTACTTCTCATGAATATTTTCGTTGTTTTTGCGTAGATTCTATTGTTCTTTAATATATTGTAATTAGTCGTTTAAAGAGCTCGTGACGCGTTTTAAAAATATTTTAAAAAATGGAAACCAAAGGGAAAGATATTAGTCTGCCGGAAAGAAAAAGTATCATTAAGTTGTGGAAAGATGGCGCAAGTTTCAGAAAAATTGGGCAAACTATTGGAAGAATGTATTCGTCTTCCTTCCTTCCAGCGAGTTGTAAATAATTAAAAAAAAAAAAAACCGACCGACATTTGTGTGCCGCAAGTCAGGAACCGCCCTTGAACAGCAAAATCTTGTTGCTACAATTAAACACGGAGATGGCGGAATTATGGTGTGGGGCTGCATCCACAATGGATAAATGGCGTTATTTAAACATTTTTAAACAACAAGATAATGACCCGAAGCCTACTGCGGAAATAGTTAGACTTTGGCTCTTGTACAATGCTCCTAGATAACTTAAAACGCCCCCTCAATAACCTGACCTCAATCCTATTGAGCATATATGATATGTTGGAAACAAGAATTCGTCAGAATACAATAACAAGTAAAGTAGCTTTGCGAAGTGTTATGAAAGAAAAATGGTCCCAGATTACAGCTGAGGAAACAGATAAGTTGGTAAGATCAATGCCAAATCGATTGAACGAGGTTTTAAAACAACGCGGCTATCCAACAAAATATTGAATTTAATTTTTCTTTATCATTTTTAATACTTTTGTAACTAATTTTAAAGCTGAACGCAGACTTAATGGTGCCTATGTTTACTTCTCCTTGCCCTAAAATCCCTTTATCACATAAATGAAAATAGGACTACACATTTTTGCTTTTGCATTTTGAACTTAAAAATATAAAGAAGAAATACATGTAGAAAATTTGAACTGAATTACCTATTTACATTGTGTTTTTACTTCACCTTATTTACTGTCTGTGAACATATATAAAACATTTCAAACCCCGGGCGCGAAACCTATGTAAAATTAAAACAAATCAAACTGGCGCGATTATTAAACACAACATACATACCAACATAATTAAATAGTAGGACAGTAAGATGAAGAAGCGGATTTTTCTGCATTGGCACACCCCAGACGTATACACAATATATAATATATAAATCCCCCAAATACAAATATGATACAAAGTGAGTCGTATAGATTCCTTATAATTTGTATTTATTTATTTGCATATATGTATTTTAAATTTAAAGCTCAACTTGTTAAAAATCTGTAATAAAAGCGGTTTATATTTAAATATAGCGGTTGCGGCCAAACTGTTTTAACGTACGGTGAATTTCCGGGAAAACCAAAAACAATTTTGTGGATCATATACATCCATATATACAATATATAATATGATATATATATATATAAATATAAAACATACATATACGTTAAGTTTTTTATTTATTTAATGGTTTTTTAAAAATAGCGGACTTGCGTCCGCGGTCTTTATTATTTTAATGTTATTAAAAGACTAAATATAATTCATTTCTTAACTCTAAATTAAACCTAAGTCCGTGCCGGGTCACGTTGCCTAAAGTTTGGTAAAGGTTTTGGTTCAAGTTACTGACCGATGGTGAGAACTGGCTGACCGTGTGAACTGCTGTGTTAAC